ACGTATTAACAATATTTATTCGACATTTCATATGATCATGTGAATTTTTTTGCCATGATATTTTTTGCATGAAATTACGTAATCAGTTTTGCAAAACATCACAGAAAAAACTTCACATGGTCATATTAACTATCCAATAACATCATTATTCGGCATACGTACGACAAATAACAGGCGATTTTTTTTTTCATTAGAGTTAATTTCACTCATGTGCTGCTACGCAGCACATGGAGTGACTTAACTCCGACAAAAAAAAATTGCCTGTTATTTTTTGTCGTCTGCCGAATAATGTATACATATGTATTAACAATATATATGTATTAACAATATATTAACAATATGTTAACAATATATTGACAATATATTAACAATATATTAATAATATACGTTTTAACAATATATTGACTATATTAACAATATATTAATAATATACGTATTAACAATATATTAATTGCGTAATTAACAGCGTAATTAAATGATAAAAGCCTCGATTTAACGTTAAATATAGATAAGTAATAAACGATCGTCAATATTAAGTGATGACAACATTAAATGATGACTAAAGATTACCATTTATAATCACCTATTTAAACAAAATTCGCACGGACACGTATAAATTTATTCGCGAATACACGCGTATGCGCCACTTTAATACCGGAAATTAAACTATTTTTTGCTTATAATTTAGGGTTAGAGAACAGCATGAAGTAGGGTGAAGCGGCATGAAGTGGCATGAAAGCAATGAAGTAGTGAAGCAGTAAAGTAGGAATAAAGTTAGAAGTTAGTGTAAAGTAAATAATTAAAGTTAACGTAAAGTTAATCAAGTTAGTATAAAAAGTTAATAAAGTTAGTGTAAAGTAATAGAAAACTAGAGAATTTCCAAAAAAAGATTAAGCCAAGAATTTGTTAAATTTGTTGAATTAATCAAATGATTAAAGATCCTTCTCGGGTGAACGTTTCCGTAGTCATAACACAATAAATCAAAAGATACATATGGAAATTATAATTACAAAGAGCATACGTCATTACTTTAATTCATTAATTCATTCATTTAATTCATTCATCCATACATTTTTATGACCGTAATAAGTTAGCATACCCGATATTCTATTATTAGCATATCAATCACTTTAAGTACGAATGTATATGTGTACTTTCACTTTAAAAAATTGCAAGGACAAGGAATTGTCTAGAATTCGAAAAACGCAATAACGAAATAATGAAATAACGAAAATAACCAAGTAACAAAATAACAAAGTACCATAGGAAGTTGTTACAAAAAGAATGTCTTGTTACATCTTTTGCCTTTGTTTATGTTGAATTGGAATATACAGTAACATACAGTAAATGCTATATTTCAGTATTTGTTTTTTTTTTCTTGGTCAATGCTCTTTGTTGATATATTTGATATATATATTCATTGTATTATTCCAAAAATAGAATACTTGCAAATAACTACAAAGTGATCCCTAATGTTTCTAAATATTTTAAATATTTTAAATATTTTAACTATTTATAAAAATATTTTAAATATTCTAAATCATCGATTTTCTCAATGCAATGTTACTCAAAATTTTTGGCATTTAATCATATGACGGTGATGTCATCATTAATTTATATTATCGAATCATAGTGTTATCAACAATATCACAAAAAAAATATTGTATCACTTTTATCTCCAAAAAAGAGTAAAATTTTCGCGAACTTTCATAAGATCATTGTTATGATCACCAAAACATGCACAAGTAAGAATACCAAAATTAGGTTAATAACGACCTCAAGATACATTTTCTAGGATATATTCTTTTTCTGTAAATGTAAAAAAAAATCCGATTTTCTTTAATTCGATGAATTCTCTTAAAAGAAGTTTTTAAAGTTATCACGAGATTATCCAATTATTAATAGCATTCAGAATATTCAGAATATTTAGAATATTTTAGAATATTTTAGAATATTTTAGAATATTTAGAAAATTCAGAGTCATAAAGTATACATGCATTATTCAAAACAATCAAATTTGGAAATCATAACTTGTGATCTTTATTTTTTCTGTTTTTATTTTTCATTCGGTATTTCTTTGCTTCCGTAAAACTTTAGCAAAAAAAAAGTGGAGTATTCCTTATAAATTATAATTAAAATAAATTAAATATTTATACTTATTTATATTTGGTGAAACAGATGATCTTTGGTAAAAAATTTTAAGTCTTTTTATAAAAAAAAAAAAAAGAATAGGTTTAAAAAGAATGATTGTTTTTTTTAAAAAAGTCTAGAATCGTCAAAGTCTTGTGACATGAAAAAAAATCAGGTTTTTACGAATTTTACATATTTTTACGTATTTTTACGTATTTTTACGCATCGTGATCTTTGACAGAAGCGTTCTATTATGCAATTTCATATCACATGAAACTGATCATCCTAAAATAGAACAAATCATGCACACGTTTTTCCTTATGTTTCGAAAACAGTTATATAAGATTAAAAAAACTGGTATAACCAAATAGATATACCAAATAGATATATTTTTTTTGTGTATCTTTCAATAATTTTTCTTTTGTAATTAATGTATATGCGTGAACTTTATACGTACTTAGACATTTATCTTTATGTAGTAGACTTCATGTAAACTTTATAGATTTTATGCTACTTGAATATATGCATGCATGCATGTGTGTGTGATGTACTATTAATACTTTTTAGTTACCTTTAAGTAAGATAACAATAGCTAATAAAGATAAATATAGAATGCATAAAAAAAATTTTATTATTATTATTATTTAATATATTTGTGATACTATAAATTTAGCCAATTAAAACATGTGTTAGTAATTAAATTCGAGTACGCATTAATTATTAGGTTCGAAACTAACAGTGTAACTTTGAATTGAACGTAAAAAAGTTGTTGATTAACAATAATCATCTTAAATTCTAGAATTGGTTTCATAACATACTGTATATACTTAAAATGATAAACTAGTATGGATTAGTATAGATTAGTACTACTATTAGTTACATACATACGTTATGTACATATGTATGTAACTAATGTAAATATGAACTTTTTTTAATTCTATAATTATACCAAAATGTATTAATTAATGATTATAAGTTCTATATTAGGTTCTTATATTATTATCTATTTTCACATTGTAGAATTAGGTGAAGATGATAATCTTTTCGAAAGATTCTCAATAAATGTCTTTGTTATCCTTTATAATCAATTCAAATTGAATTCTTGAAATTGAATTCCTGGTTTCGACTTTTTTTTTATCATTTGAATCATTTAATCATTTGATTAAATTTATATCTCATTATTATTATTCTCATTTTGAGAATAATATTTCTTATTTTCCCATTATCTTTTTTTTTTTCAAAAAGAATGAAATGGAATGAAACGCAATGAAATGATATTGATAGTATCGATAAACGTCGTTACCTTGAAGATCCGGACCTTCCGAAATTCGAATTATCTATTTTAATAAATCTATAATCTATTTTTTCAAGAGTTACGTATGTATCAGGTATGTACGTACGTACTTACGTACGGTATTGAGTACTACTTTACTACATTACTACATTTCGAGTCGATATTTGAGTACTACTTTATTACAATTCGAATCGATATTGGATATTATTAAGTACGTACTACTCTGCAATTTCGTGTCGATAGAGTACGATTGTGTTATTTAATTTTTCCTTTTTTTATAAAGTTTTATTTTTTTTCAACCAAGTAAGTAAATACCCACATAGGTACGAAAGAAGGTACGAAAGAAAGTACGAAGAATCAAATAAAACACGAAACAAAAAAAAAAAAAAAAAAATTCTTTTTGATTTGATTAACCGGCTTAAAGTTTATTCGATTTTATTTTCTTTTGTTTTAAATAATAGTATATAAACTAAAATAGATATATACCATGACCAAATAATCAAATATTTGTAATTATATTTCCTTTTATAAATTTTTAATTAAACAATTTCGGTTTACTTTTTTTTTCGTACGTATTAGAAAATACGTTTCATCATGTGATATTCTGTGATATTCCTCATGAATTAAGTATTAGTCATTACTGAATGATCGTCGTAGTAAAGTACGTAGTACGTAGTAATAGTAGTAATAATAATAATAATAATAAATTATATGTATGTAAATAATATATCGATATAAAATTTTTTTTTAAAAATTTGTTACTGTAATGATATTATTTATCGATATTCATTCGTGTAAGAAATGTCAAAATACGTACATCATCAATTCGAATTGTTTAAAACAAAAGAGATATACAAAATGAAAAAAAAAGATTTTTTGATTTGATTTGATATTTTTTTTTTTTTTTTTTGATTTGAAGATTTGAATTTTTGTTTTTGTTTTTGTTAAAAATCAAAAACCATAAACCAAAAAAAAAAAAAAAAAAGAAAGTAAAAAAGATCTCATGTAAAACACAAAAAGATAATAAACTTTGTAAAACTTTGATGCAAAATAAGCGTTATGGAAAAACTATACAATAATATTTTTTTTTTAACAGAAAAAACATATCGAATTATATATCTTGAATATAAATTTGAAAAAAAAACTATACAATTTTATCAAAAGATAATGTATAATATGAAAAAAGAAAAAAAATATATATACGAAAAAAAACGAAAAAATAAGAAAAAAAAAAGAATGCATTGATAATACGTTTAAAATCAATCATATCAGCATAATAAAAGTATAATAATTTGTAACTATAGTATATTCCATACGCATATATCGCCACTAAAAAAAAAATAGTAAAGTAGTTATAATTTTGATTACAATAAAATCCACCAATGTCCGAGTAAAGGCAAAGAAAAAAAAAAGGATTAAATGAAAATATGTATAAACCGAAGAATTAAAGTTAACAAACTAATGTAAACATCTAATGTAAACATTTGGTTCGTTTAACGATCTTATTAAATCGTATCATCGTAAAAAGAAGAAGAAAAAAAAAGAAATAAAAATTAAAATAAAATTAATTGTTCATTTAATTCTGTGGTAACGTCGTATGAACGTTACTAGCCTGGTATGTCTGCAAATAAGGTGTGAAATTACTAAAAGCTCTCGCGGGTGTATTTTTTTCTTTGCCATTTGGTCTATGAACACGAATATGTTGACTAAGATTGTCTGACCGAGAGAATCGTTTCGTGCAATGTGGGTGGGGGCAACAGAAAGCTAATAAAATTAAAAAATAATAAACATTGTGTAAATTAAATATATTTTTGATTAAAATTTTATATATATATATATTTATAAAATAAAATAAAATAAAATAAAATAAAATAAAATAATAAATAAATAAATAATATGTTTATATATACTTACGTCGTTCAAGTGTATGTATTGAACGAATATGACGTTTAAGATGCTCCGACCGTTTAAAAATTCTTCCACATCCAGCATAATGACATTCAAAAGATTTTGTTCCAGGCTTTGCAGGTTTGTTTGTCATGCGTCGTCCTCTTGATTTGCCAGTTGATTTTGTTGTCGTCGTTGGTGGTTGTGCAGGTGGTGGTGAAGGTAAAGGTCCCATAATTGATCGATGAAAATCTTGTGGATCTTGAAACATTTCTTGTACTGATGATGTTGGAATTCTACCTCGACGTCCACGACCATTATTATTATTATTTGCTAACATTACTTCTGGAATAATATCCCTTTGATCATTTATAATATGATGATGGGATAATGAAAGACCCGTCGGTGACATGATCGGTGATTGATCATGAGGTGAATCGAGTGGTGTAAGTGGTGAAGTTGAAATGCTTGAAGGATTACAAACTGCGAGATCAGGACAGCTTTCTTGAGACATAGTTCTTGACACGTTATAAATTGAACAAGATGGATCAATAGGTTCTGAATATTCAATTTTTATCTTTGGTTCTTCCATATTAAACATGCTATAGCTGTCACTTTCTGGAGATGAACATGCCGTCATGTGTTGAGGTGGATAAAATTCGTAAGCTTCCGAAATATAATGTTCATCAGTTAAGTATTCAGTGAAAGAGATTCGATTATTCATATTCAGATAGTCAGATGCCATATCAACTTCTTTTTGATGATGATATGGTGGTGTTGAATGATGATGAAGAATAGAAATTGGTGCCACGTTTGAAATCGAACAAATACCCTGACGATAGTCAAGTTGTAAATTCGAAGGATCAGTAAGATTTTGCATATCGGAAAAGCGTGTAAGAGATCCCATGTTAAAAAAAATTAATGTCGTTTCAGATTAATTCGTTATTTTTTTTTTTTGCTGCGTTACGAAAAAAATTAAGAAACGTAAACACAGAAACTATTTTTATAAAAAAAAAAAAAATTGTTAGCTTCTGTGTTTTTGTTTTTTTGTTTTTTTTTGTTTTTTTTTTAAAGGTTGTTTTTTTTGTTTTTTTTTTTTGATAAACGTTATAAACAGTTTTTTAGATTTTGCCAAGAAAAAACTTTCGTAAAGTTGAATAAAAGACGATTAAAGCGAAAAATTTAAAGAAAAAAAGAAAAAGAAATTAAATTTGGTTTTTTTTTAAAAAGTCATAAAAAAAAAAACTCAATATTTTTCATACGAAAACAGTAAAGCGTAAGTTACACTTTTTTTAAGATATCACTTTAACAACTATCAGTTTTCAACTAAGTTGTTTTTTTGATTTTTTTTTTTTTTTTTTTGAATGTTATAAAATTCTTAAAGACATACGAAAATTTAATGAAATATTAGAGGACAAGAAAAGAAAAAAAACTTTTTTTCATAAATTTTTTTTCTCTCGTTGATTAAGTGGAGAAGTGTTACCTTTTATATTAATAATTTTATATTTACAGTATAAAAAATTTTTTATATTATTAAATTAAATTTATTACATCAAATTTATTATTTATTTTGTACATCATAAATTTTATAGTAAAACTGGTTCGTCGAAAAATATGTGATATTACTATAATTATCAAATCCCAGATAAAAATGTAAAAATGAGATAACATACTACTATCTAATACTATCTAATACGTAAATAAAATAAAAAAAAAAATAGAAATAGAAAATGTTCACAATAAAGTAAACTAAACCAACTTTAAAAGCAAAAAATTTATTGTTAGTATCTTGTTCGTCTTTAAAATATAACTTTTTTTAGGTTTTTTAATTTTTTTTTTTTTTTCTTTAAAGGTCACGTAAGTTCAGACTGACTAGTGTGTGTAGCAAAAACATTTCATTCTGACCGGGAACCTGTTTTCATAGAAATATTCTTTATTTTCGTGTTACTAGATTACATATTTTCTTGCAGAGAGATTCATATAACTCTGATTATGCATTTTCGAATTAATAGTCTTATTCTGAAATATTCTGATAGACCGGGTTGTGATACAGGCGAACCTGACTAGTAATAATGTAGAATAGAAATAATAAAAGTAAAGTAATAGAAATTATAAAAGTAATAGAAAATGATTGTAATAATAGTAATAATAGTAGTAATAATTTACAAAGTAAAAAGTAAAATCTACAACATAAAAATTTTTTTTACATAATAAATAAAAAAAAAATCGATTATTGTTAATTTTCACCTTAGGTGAATATCACCTGGTTGTATAAAAACCAATCAGATCGCTGGATCTTGTGTAACCAAAACAAAGCGAAGGCAAGAGAAAAAATCAAATAACTCAAATAACTCAAGATTTTATTATAAAAGTCATGTACCAATTTCTAAGCAAAAGTTTTCAACGTCAAATTTTACATATATTTAAAACCAATCCTAATTCCTAACCTTAATTTTATTTTATACTTGTAATAAAAATTTTATAATACCGGATGGGTATCACCTAGGGTGAAAATTAGTTATAATATAAAATTCATGTACGCATAAAAATTTTACATATAATAAAAAAAAAAAACTAAAATTAACTGGTGACTTTTTTAAAAAAATTAAAGGTATTGGTGTAAAATTTTTAATAAAAAAATAAAAATAAAAATATATAATTTTTTTCTCGATATCAAAGTTTATCATGAAGCAGCCGCATAAGGTATGATCTATTGGTTAATCATGATTTACACCTCTTATGGTGACATGATTTCCACCTCTTATGGTGACAAGCAATTCGTTTATATATATATATATATATGATTTTTATTCTTTGAAACACAATTTGGTTGATGTATGCGGATTATTGAGGTCCCTCTAAGTACCTCACAAATAAAAGTATTAAAATTGATACCCTGTATATGTATATGTGTATGTGTATGTGTTTATCACTCCGAACATCAAATTCGATTCACATCAAATTCGATTCACATCAAATTCGGAATTTAAAATTATTCAGAATTTCATTCTATAGTTATCCTAATTTGAGGTAAATGTATGCGTGTACGCGTGAGCATCAGATATTAATATTTTTTGTAAAAAAAAAAAAAAAAAAAATAGTATTCGTATATTCATATTCGTTGCATATGACCAATTGGTGATTAAAAAGTGTCGTCATCATTCTTGAGTTTATGTTGGGAGTTATTTTCGGAGTTATTTTTTTTTAAAGTTATTTTGTAAAGTTATTTTTTAAAGTTATTTTTGGAGGATGATATTTTTAGAATCATTTGATAAATCTTGAGATGTAAAGGAGTAATAAAGAGTAATAAAAGGTGAGTAATAAAAATTTGGTAATAAAAAAAAATTTGGTAATAAAGTAATAAAAAATGAGTAATAAAGTAATAAAAAAGGTTTACTTACATAAAAAGTTTTTCTTAAGCGCGAATCGTGTAATAATTAAGGCGTAAAAATTTTGATTTGATCTATATTAACTTACCAGAAATGGAAATGAACTACAAAAGATAATTAAAATCGACTAATCTAAGAATATATATATAAAAAAAAAAAAAACTTCAGTGCATGCATGTTGAGTAAGAAAGATTTTCAAAAGTCACAGGTCGTAAAAAAGGTCGTTTTGGCTGACCGGCAATAGATTGTGTATCGGAAGAATCATTTTCAGTCAGACACCAAGTAATCACATAAACAACATAAAATTTAATTCGTTGAATGGAAAACCTATTATTAACTTTTTAAACATTATTTAATCAACAACATTTATTATACATTTATTATTGCAGAGAAACAAATCCATGCGTTAAAGACCAACCAACGAACTAAGTCTAAAAAGAAAGTGATCACAACATATAAACAATTTGGTTGTACGCATAAATTGGACACAGAACAAAGAGGGTTTGTAGATTATAAGAGAAAAACATAACCGACAGTTTTCACACAAAAAACATATATGCAATGTTTGAATTATATTCATTACTTATGCATAGATTTGTTGAAATATTATTCGTTATTTCTTACATCCATCATAACCATCATCATGTGCGTGAAATAAATTAGTGAACACAAACTAGCCAACATGCATTTTACAATCGAGTTTCATGATAACTTGAAATATTCAAAAATAAATTTTTATTGGTTAATAATCCGGAATAGTATTGGTTGTTGGGATTTTCACCAAAATTGGATTAACCAAACAATCACATTTGATGCATCATGCTAAACCAAGTGACCAATGAAATTTTGTCTAACCAACCATTACTTATCAAATTGAAATAGAAAAGGCACGTTTATGATAATTTCATGGGGATTTACTTGGCATCGGAAATGCATAAACCATTTATCACTTACTTATTTGAAATCCGCTGTTAGGGAATTTTCAAACACTAAACGTTTACTAATCTTTGTGCTTCATTTTAGGTTGGTTATTTTCCATATCCGTTCATTTATCATGATATACTTTTTTAGAATGGATCTCTGCGATTTTCTACATTTTATTGCATCAATGATTTTAAAAATAACACACATAAAAAGACTACAATTAAGTACTGTACATAGTGACTGTACATAGTGATTGTACATATTGACTGTACGCAGTGACTGTATGTAGTATACATACCTGATATCTGATACGTAGTATACATTCATACGTGCATTTTCTTTTCTATATAGTCTATATATATGATTTGTAAATTTTGTATGTATTTTGTTACGTATATTCAATGTATTATTAATTCTCTGTATATTTCGTATATTTTGTATATTTTGTATATTTTGTATACTTTGTATATTTTGTATACTTTGTATATTTTGTATTTGTATATTCAAGTTTTTACGTGTACCCTAACTGCTAACGTTAATAATCTTAACGTTTCCTCACATGATGAGATTAATCATTCTTCCATATCACTAAATGAAGTTAATTAAGAATTTAAATAATTTTTTTAACGTATAAGATGACGTATAATAGTGTGATAAACTTGTGATAAACTATAATCATCATATATATCATTTATAATATATATATCAAACATAATTTATTAATATATATATCGGTTATTAATATATATTTTTTAGTTAGAACATCTATCATTTATTCAATAATATCTATCATTTTAGTTACGTAGACTATATATACATTTAGAATACTTATATACTATTTAAACTATATAAAGTATATACTATATCTATAAATCACACTAATATAGAATCGATTCTTTTATATTTTTGGATATATTGGACCCTTAAATTGTCATTATACGTATTCCGAATGTGATATGTAGTAAATAATTGCTAGAATTTTATTGAACGTTTTATTCACGAAAAATATGAAAATAAAGGTATGAAATAAAGCAACTTTAATGCTCTTTAATGTCCCAAAAACCAAGTAAATTTTGTATGAATAACAATAGCATGTATGTAATATGTATATAATATGTATATAATATATATATAATATGCAAAAGAATTTCTAATACACTATATCTAAATATCTAATACAGTATATTCATGAAAAGTCATGAGCTGATACATAAATGAAAGATGAAATGTAAGAGCGTGGGCATAACATTGCTTTAATATTTTCTTAATCAAGACTAGAAATAATTTAGTAAATTTTTTTTTTTTGAAATTCATATTACGTAAACCTACACATTTTTAAGATAACGAATATAATTACAAGTTACTGTTACTGTTACCTGGCAAAGTAGTAACAACTATTTTTTCTTTTATAACAATTAGAATTTTATACCTAATTGTTTTCATGCATTTCTTTTCCGATTACTTTTTTTTACCAATCAATAAACAAACAATAATTTTTTTAAATATGTCGAATAATAATTGTCGAGATTAAAATGATATGCTGCTTTATCAAAAACCACTAGAGATTAATTCGTCTTGAATGCATATTTTAGCA